GCCGCGCGCCCGGCTCCGTCAGTCAGGCAGCCGGCACCGCGCGACCGGCGGCCTCGGCGGCAGGGAAGAAGGGGCCGGGTTCGGTGCTGCGGGGGAAGCCCAGGATCGCGGCCGTTCCTTTGGCCGCTCGCTCGCCCGCCCGCCCCTCCACGTGAAGGACGCCGACACCGCCGCTTACTCCCTGACGCTCCATTCGGTCTTTTCCCGCCTTTTACGCGCGCGCGTTCTGCGCACGCGCAGCCTCCGTCTCCCCCCCCCCCGTGCGCCCCGCCCACGCGGGGGACCTGCGCGCGCAGACGGACCCGGCCGAGCCGTTGGGCGGCAGTTGAGCTGTAGTGGGATTGCGGGCGCCCCGCCGGCGCCTCGCGCAGTGCGCATGTGCGCGGGCCCGGCCTCCCCCGTGGCGTCAGGCTTGCGGGAGTGTGGCTCGGTACGTGTAATTCCGTCTTAGTTTACTGTCTGGGGTTTTTGCTTCCCCAGTGACGCTGAGACTCCTACGTTAGGCTGCAGGCATGAGATGGGATTGCTCTTGGGCGCCCAGGCCGGCTTCGAACTGGGTATCTGGACCCGCGTGTGGGGACTGCGGTGTGCGCTGGGGCCGGGAGGCGGCGCCGCGGTGCAGAGGCCCGGGCGCCCTGCGCAGCGCACACCAGCGCAGGCAAATAAAGCTCTTGATTAAAAAAAGAAAGCAAGCTTGGTCATGAATAAAAATCTCAGCCGCGCTGCGGCCCTGTGGCCCACGCCCTGAGCCCCCCAGCCCCCGGGAGGCCGAGCCCTGAGGCCCACGCCCGCCCCCCCAGCCCCGGGGAGGCCGAGGCCCATGCCCGTCCCCATGCCCATACCCCCAACCCCCGGGAGGCGGAGGCCCACGCGGCCGGTGGGAGGCTGAGCCCTGAAGCCCACGCCCGGCCCCCCAGCTACTCAGGAGACAGATCTGAGGATCGCCGTTCAAAGCCAGCCCGGGCAGGAAAGACCGTGAGATGCTGATCTCCAATAAACCACCAGAAAACTGGAAGTGGTGCTGTAGCTCAAGTGGTAGAGCGCTCGCCTCAAACTGAAGAGCTGAGGGACAGCGCCCAGGCCCAGAGTTCAAGCCCCACGACTGCCCCCCCATAAAAAAACCATCTCTTAATAGCAACGGACAGAATGTGTTGCAAATATTTTTAAGGGTGGTTCAGATGGCAGAGCACCTGCCTAGGAAGAGCCAGGCCCCAAATTCACACTACTTCTCATGCACACACAACTTACAAAGGGCTGGGAAGGTGGCTCAGTGGTAGAGCACTAGCCTCACATGCATGAGGCCCTGCTTTTGATTCCTCAGTACCACATAAGCAGAAAAAGCCAGAAGTGACGCTGTGGCTCAAGTGGTAGAGCGCTCACCTTGAACACATGCTCACAGACAGCGCCCAGCCCCGAGTTCAAGTACCAGGACCAGCCTCCCAAATTAAAAAACACACACATAATTTGAAATAATCAGATACTCAGAAGGTCCCAAGTTCAAAGACAGCCTGGGCTATAGTTAAAACCTAAGTAACTTAGATCATGACTTTTTTTTGGTCAGTCATGGGGCTTGAGCTCTGGGCCTGGGCGCTGTCCCTCAGCTCTTCAGCTCAAGGCAGCGTTCTACCACCTGAGCCACAACGCCACTTCCAGCCTTTTCTGGTTATGTTGTCCCAGGCATACAAGGCAAGCACTCTACCACAGAGCCACCTTCCTAGCCCCCACGTTTCGAGTTTTTTGGCTGGGCTTGACCTGGGCACTGTCCCTGAACTTCTTTTATTCAGATAGCACTCCAACACTTGAGCCATCATGCCACTTCCGGCTTTTTCTGTTGATGTGGTACTGAGGAATCAAACTCAGGGCTTCATGCATGCTAGGAAGCTGTCTACCACCAAGCCACATTACCCGCTCAAGTCTCAACACAAGACCTTAAATACAAAGATTCTGCAGCAGATGGCGCTTACTGAGGAGGGTGAGCCATGGGCTCCAGCAGCTTTACTAAGTTCTCTAAACTGGGCTTACTTTGTGTCTGAAGAGGCACAGGGGTTTATATGCAGGTCCTAATGCTCTTGACATGACACTCTCCCACTCCAGGTACATCTGTACTTCTGGCTTTTTCCCCCACCAGTCCTGGGGCTTGAACTCAGGGACTGGGCTGTTCTTGAGCCTCTATGTGGTCAAAGCTAGCACTCTACTTGAGCCACAGCATCACTTCCTTTACTGGTGATTTTATTGGAGATAAGTATCTGGGGGGGGGGGGAGACATGGACTGGGAAGGTGGCTCAGTGGTAGAGCGCTTGCCTTGCATTCCTCAGCACCACATAAGCAAAAAGAAAAAAAAGGCAAAGTGGTGCTGTGGCTCAAGTGGTAGAGCACTAGCCTTGAGCTGAAGAGCCGAGGGATAGCACCCAGGCCGAGTTCAGGCCCCACGACCGGACCCAAAAAAAAATCTCACGGATTTTTCCTGTCAGGCTGACTTTGAACCGCAATCCTCACATCTCAGCCTCATGAGCAGCTAGGATTACAAGCGTGAGCCACCTGCGACTAGCAACCAGCTTTTCTTTTTTTTGAGTAGTTTATTAGAAACAAGAGTCTCTTAGACTTTACTGACCAGGCTGGTTTTGAACCGCTATCCTCAGACCTTAGCCTCCTGAATGGTTAGGATTACAGAAGTGAACCACCAGCAATTACCTTTTATTTTTTTGAACTAAGAACTTGCTATGGAGTCTGAACTGGCCTTGAAACATGACATCTTTCAGCCTCTTGAATGCTGGGGTTACAGCAATGTACTATCAAACCCTTTGCCTTTTACTTTCCTTCAACACCAGCACCTGAACTCAAAAAGTCTTCAGCTGACAACACTAGAGCGCGATCTCTAGCTTGGCGTGTGTTTGAACTCAGGGCCAGGGCACGGTCCCTAAGCTAGTGTTCTACCATTTGAACCACAGCTCCACATCCACCCTTTTGGTTGGAGATGAGTCTCATGACTTCATTGCCTGGGCTGGCTACTGGAGCTGCACTTCCCCAGAAGGCCTGGCCCAGCCTGCCCAGGACCCACGCCACTCTCCAGCTTTTTCTTGTTGTTGTTGGTCGTGGGGCTTGAACTCTGGGCCTGGGTGCTGTCCCTGAGCTCTTGATCTCAAGGCAGAGTGTTCTTTTTTTTTTTTTTTTTGCCAGTTGTGGGGCCTGAACTCTGGGCCTGGGCGCTGTCCCTCAGCTCTTCAGCTCAAGGCTAGCGCCACTTGAGCCACAGCGCCACTTCCGGCTTTTTCTACTTATGTGGTGCTGAGGAATCGAACCCAGGACCTTAGGCATGCAAGGCAAGCGCTCTACCACTGAGCCACCGTCCCCAGCCCAGCCCCAGGAAGAGAGTTCTTAGCAGTAGGGACAAAGGCCCTGGGGTCACATATGCAGATGGAAAGGTGGACTGGGGGGAGCCATGGTCTCCCCAGCTCAAGCCACTCACACTTCAGTCAGCAGCTTCCTCTTCCGCAGTTCACTTCTTTCTTTTTCAGCCAGTTTCTCGGCCTGTCCCCCCTGGACCAACTGGAGCCGCCGCTGCACCTCATCGTCTATGCCCTCCACCTGCAGGAAGCGAGGTTTGAGGCCTGGGCGCCCCTGCGGCCCCCACCCCGTGTGCCCACCGCATACAGGGAGACTCACGGTGCGGAACACCCGGGGCCCCTCGGCCGCGCTCTTGTCCACGCGGATCCACTTGTTGGACATGGCCTTGCTGAAGCCCACCTTCCCGCTGGGCAGGCGCTGGGGGTGTCAGGCAGGGCTGAGTGGGTACCCTGCAAGCCCCCGCCCCACTCCCTGCACTCCCTCACCCCTGCCTGCAGGCAAATACCATGAGCTCACTCTGCGCCAAGCCCTCCGCGGGGACACTCTGAAACACGCGGGCCTCGTGGCTGCCCTCCCGGGCCATCTCCTCGCCCTCCGCGGTCAGCTCCCAGCGCTTGGTGGAGCGAAGCTCAGCCTCGATCACCTGCAGGGAGACGGGGAGCACGGGTGGAGGTGGGTGCAGAACCAGGCTCTTCCCCAGGCAGCACGTGAGGCTGGGATTTGAAGCCCAGCCTCCCAGCCGAGGGACCCAAGGCAGGACGTTCCCGGCCCAGCCTCGAGGTCCTTCATGTGACACACACAGTTCTCTTTTAATTTTTTTTTTGGGGGGCGGCGCCATTAGTGAGGCTTGAACTCAGGGCCTTGTGTTCTCTTGACTTTTTCATTCAAGGATAGTGCGCTACTACTTGAGCCACAGCTCCACTTCCAGCTTTTTGGTGGTTCATTGGGAATACGAGTCTCAGGACTTTCCCTGCGTAGTCTGGACTCAAACCATGGTCCTCAGATCTCAGCCTCCTGAGAAGCTAGAATAACAGGAGCTACCTGTGCCCAACTAAGTTCTTCCTTTGTAGTGCTAGAGATGGAATCATGGCCTCCTGCATGCTAGGCAAGTGCTCCATGCCCCTGCCTTTTTGCTTGATTCCTCAGTTTTGGGTTTTTTTTCTTTGTTTTTTGGTCAGTAGTGGGGCTTGAACTCAGAGCCTGGGTGCTGTCCCTGAGCTTCTTTTGCTCAAGGCTAGCACTCTACCACTCTGAGCAATGACACCATTTCTGGCCTTTTCTGTTTATGTGGTACCGAGGGTTTGAATCCAGGGCTTCATGTTTGCTAGGCAAGCATTCTACCACTAAGCTACATTCCCAGACCACGTAACTTCTTATTTTTTCTGTATTTTTTAGGATCCGGCGTGGGGCCTGAACTCTGGGCCTGGGCATGCAAGGCAAGTGCTCTACCACTGAGCCACCTTCCCCAGCCTCCTTTAGTTTGTTCTTTAGACAGGGTCTTACACTTTTTTTTTTTGGGGGGGGGGTCCGGTCGTGGGGCCTGAACTCTGGGCCTGGGCGCTGTCCCTCAGCTCTTCAGCTCAAGGCTAGCGCCACTTGAGCCACAGCGCCACTTCCGGCTTTTTCTACTTATGTGGTGCTGAGGAATTGAACCCAGGGCCTCATGCAGGTAAGGCAAGCACTCTACCACTGAGCCACCTTCCCAGCCCCAAGGCAGAGTGTTCTACCACTTGAGCCATACCGCCACTTCCATTTTTCTGGTGGTTCAGTGGAGATAAGAGTCGTATGTACTTTTCCTGCAAGGGCTGGCTTTGAACCCTGATCCTCAGATCTCAGCCTCCTAAGTGGCTAGAAAGACAGGCGTGAGCCCTGGCGCCCGGCTCCCAGCTCTCTCTGGGGCCCCCTCACCTGGTTTCTTCTAGATTCAGCCCCAGGCTGAGCCGGAAGGACCCCACTGGACCCTTAGGGCGTCTCCACAGGGGGGCTGCGGCCCGCTTTATTGCACAGCAGAGCCACCCGCCCAGCTTCCCGGCCGGACAGCCCGGGGGACAGGAAGAGCCTCTCGTGGGCACGGGTCCGGGATGAGTCGGGGGAGAGAGAAGGGCCGGCCTCACGGAGGCCTCATCAGTACAGTGGGGTCACTGGTGAGGGCGGCAGGGCCTCGGGTCACGCGGCCTCCTGCGTGTGCCTGGGTGTGTCCACGTCCAGGCGGCACAGGGGACTGTCGTACACCATCTGCAGGTTCACCTTGTGGCCCACCAGCTCCCGGATGTTGTTGATGCCGTACTTGATCATGGTGGGGCTGGGAGGGGAAGTGAGCAGTGAGACTCTCCACTTGGAACCCGAGGGCTTCCGTCAGCTGAGGAAAAGCGCTGTGGCCCCCAAGACCTCCATGGCCTGCCACCTCCCGGCCCCCATGTCCTCCCATTTGCCCCCTCGCTCTCCTGGCTCTTCTCCAGACCCACCAGGCCCGGCCCAGCCTCAGGGCCTTTGCACTGGCTGGATGAGACATCCCTGCGTCTTCCTGTTATCACTGGTCTGCTCAGGGGCTGCCTCCTCCATGAAGCCCTCCCTGACTCCCCCGTCTGCTGAGCTGGCACTGCCGGCTCTGAGACACACAGCCTAGACTATTGGCTTCATTGACTCCCTGGTCTTGCCGTAGTTCACCTGGATTTCCCATGGACCCAAGCGCGGTGGCAGACACAGATGCTGAGTGTCATCACGCAGGACAGATCCTTTGAGAGGAATGAGTGGACCTGCCCACGCCGGGCAGTCCGGGAGGGGCACTCACCGCTCCAGCGAGAGCCCCCAGGCAATGACCGACACATTCTCCGGGAGCCCCATAGGCAGCAGCATCTCGGGGCGAAAGAGGCCTGAGTTCCCAACTTCCACCCACTTCTTCAGGCCTGCAGGGCAGAAGGAAGGCAGAGAGTTGTATGGGGGGTAGTGGAGGGAAGAGGCTCCCAGGCCATGCCACGGGGTGCCCCAGACCTTGATGGTAGCTGAACACCTCCATGCTGGGCTCCGTGTAGGGGTTGTAGGCTGGCTTGAAGCGGAGCTGCGTGATTCCTGCAGGGGACAGTGATGGGTGATGGCGGAAGTGGCCTCCTCCATGCTCCCTGGCTCCGCCCCCAGCCCGCCCCGCCAGCTCACCCAGCTTAGTGAAGAACTCCCGCAGGACGCCCATGAGGTGGCCCAGGTTGAGCCCGTGGTCGGCCACCACGCCCTCGATCTGGTGGAACTCAGCCAGGTGCGTGGCGTCCAGGGTCTCGTTGCGGAACACGCGGTCGATGGAGAAGTACTTGGCTGGTGTGAAGGGCTTCTGGGGGGGGGGGGGGTGACAGCCAGGCCAGGTGGGGCCCAGATGGGGGTCAGAAGGTCCAGAGGCCAGCCAGAGCTAGCCACCCCTGCCCAGGCCACTCCGCACCTTCTGGGCCAGACGGTAGAGGGCCCGGGCGCTGGCCGAGGTGGTGTGGGTGCGCAGGAGGTTCTTCTTGGCCTCATCCAGCTTCCAGCTGTATTTGTAACTTCAGAGCAAAAGGAAGGCGGTGGTCCATGCACTGCCCTGGCCTTCGGCCTCCTTCCCCAGGCCTCTTCTCCCGCACCTCTCCCCAGGCCCAGCCTCCATCCAGACTCACCCCTGGGAGCCGTAGCCACCCTGCGAGTGGGTCCGCTTCACACGCTGTACATAGTCCATGGGCAGCTGCAGGGCCTCGGCTGGATCTAGCAAGACACAGCCCCAAAGCAGCAGCAGTGAGACTCGAACTCAGGGCCTCGCACTTGCTCAGCAGGTGCTCTACCACTTAAACCATGCCCCCCTGACACCTCTAGCTCAGAACTCTGTGAGGCTCCCACCTTACCCAGAAGATACTCAAGTCCTGTCCCAGACCTCTCCCTGCCTCAGTGTCTTCCCTCTCTAGTCACGACTCATTCCTGCCTCGGGACCTTGGCACTGGCCCCACTCCCACCTACGGTTCTCCAAAAATATGGCCTCCTCCCTCACTTTACCTCTGTTTCAACAAAGACCACCCTCCCCAGCGCAGGGGCTTCGGCCTCCTTCCCGACCGTGTGTTAACAGATGAGGCACAAAAAAGAGAACCATCTGCTGAGTACACTGTGAACTTCCTTTTCCTGCTGGGTGCTGGGAAGAGAAGTCAGGCCCTGGCACAGACTAAATGAGTGTTGAACCACTGCCTCAACTCCAGTGGCTAGGACGGCCCTGAAGATCTGGGGCAAACTGGTTCCTGGGAGAGGGTGCAGCAGGAGCAAAGGCCCTGGGGTAGGCACCGCTGGCATGTTCAGAGGAAAGCATTCGACCATGGTGAGCAGAAACCCAGAGGCCCCTCAGCCACCCCAGCATGGACCCACCTCGCAGGAAGAAGGTGTCGTGCTGGTCCCTCGCAGGGTGTTGCTGGGGCTGGAAGAGGGCGTCAAAGTTCCAGAAAGAGCTCTCGATGAAGTTGTCCGTTGGCATCTCGGTGAACCTAGGGGAAGACAAGCCTGATGTGCCTGCCCTTGCCTGGGCCCAGGCGCCGTGCCCGCAGCATGCTCACCCTGAGCCCCGTACTCACCCCATCTCTAGGAAGATCTGCCGGAACTGGGAGCGGACCTTGAGTAAGGGGTGCAGGTGGCCGCTGTCGGGGGGCACGCCGCGGGCTGCGAAGTTGTAGGGCTTGAAGGACCGGTTCTGCCAGGAGCCACTGTGGGGGGACGGGATGCCCCAGCCTGGTGAAGGCAGCCCAGCCCCACCAGCGCCCAGCCCCGCCTGGGCACAGCCTGTGGGCACCTGTGCTACCTGGAGATCATGTCTGGGCTCAGCTCTGCCTCCTGCTTGGAGATGCTGGTGCTGAAGGCCTTGCCTTTGCTTACCCAGTAGGTCTTCAGGGTCCTGCGGCCAGAGAAAGGCATGGGAGGTCACCTACGCAGCCACCTCGCGTGGCCTCCCGCCCGTGCTCACTCATAGCCAATCAACAAACGCGTGTGCAGTGTCTGCTCGAGGCCCAGCCAACCGCTGGGATGCAGTGGCGGTGAAATCCGGAGGGCGCTGCACCGCAGCCCTGTGAGAAGGGGCTGGTGTACAGACAGGGAGACTGAGGCCAGAAGAGGCCAAGTGACTTGGCCATGGTCAGCAAAGGTAGACCTTTTGTGTGTGCGTGCTAGCACTGGGGCTTGAATCCAGGGCCTTGCGCTCTCACTGGCTTTTCTGCTCAAGGCTGGTACTCTACCTCTTGAGGCACAACTACATTCTGGCCTTTTTTTGTTTTGTTTTGTTTTAGGGGGGGCCGGTCGTGGGGCCTGAACTCGGCCTGGGCGCTGTCCCTCAGCTCTTCAGCTCAAGGCAAGCGCTCTACCACTTGAGCCACAGCGCCACTTCCGGCTCTTCCTGCTTATGTGGTGCTGAAGAATTGAACCCAGGGCCTCAGGCATGCAAGGCAAGCGCTCTACCACTGAGCCACCTTCCCAGCACCGACCCCCACCTCCCCCTTTAAACACTAGTTATTTGGAAATAAGAGTGGCTACAAACCTTGATTCTCACTGGTGCCGGTGGCTCACACCTGTCATCCTAGCTACTCAGGAGGCTGAGAGCTGAGGATCACAGTTCAAAGCCAGCCCAGGGAGGAAAGTCCATGAGACTCTGATCTCTAACAAACCACCAGAAAACTAGAAGTGGCGCTGTGGCTCAAATGGTAGAGTGCTCACCTTGAACTGAAGAGCTGAGGGACAGCACCCAGGCGCAGAGTTCAAGCCCCATGACTGACAAAACACAAAACCTTGATCCTCAGATCTCAGCCTCCTGAGTAGCTAGAATTACAGGTCTGAGTCCCTGGCACCTGACTAAGGATAGACCCAGAAGATCCATAGGAAGAGAGTCCCTAAATGGTAGGCCATGAGAGAAAGCAAGTGGCTCAAGTTTCAGACAAGTCACCTGTTCTCTGCAGCCTCAATTTAGGATTTTGTAGTGAGGACTTAAAAAACAACAACCAACTTTTTTTTTTTTTTTTTTTGGGGTCCAGCAATGAGGTCTGAACTCTGGGCCTGGGCGCTGTCCCTCAGCTCTTCAGCTCAAGGCAAGCACTCTACCACTTGAGCCATAGCACCACTTCCAGCTTTTTTTCTT